TCCCGGGCACGTGCCGGCGCTCAGGGTGGCCTCTCGCGGCCGGACGCCAGGTGCCTTACCGCGCACCCAGGGGGGTTAGCAGCTGCGCAGCGAGAGCGCCTGCAAGCACACGCCCTGCCAGGCTGCGCCACCCGAAAGGGGAGCGGTTGGCTGCGGCAGCCCCAGCAGGCGCTTCCTGTGTGTCAGGAGCGGGGCACAGCGCCGGGTCCGGCCGGCGCCAGCCCGCGCCCCTCCCTCTGCGGGCCTCTCCGGGACGCCGCACGCCTCCACTCGCCTGCTCTGGCCGAGCTGTCTGCAGGGAGCAGCTGGCCAGCGCCTGCGAAGCCACGCCTGTCCCCGTCCCCCACAGTGGCCGGCCCTCCTGGCCCTCCCGCCCCTCCGGGCCCCACGGGCCTGCGCGCTGCTGGCGGGGTCCGCTCCCCGCCGGGTGAGGGTCCGCCGTGCGCCCCAGCCTGCACCGCCCCTTGGGCTCCTCCTCGTCTGCCCTGTGCCCCCCGGGTTCCAGCAGGGACCCGCGTCCTCACACTGTCCGCGGAGCCTGTGGGAGCGAAGGCTGGGTCTCACGACGGGCGCATCTGGCTTCTCAGAGGGGTTGCCCGACTGCCCGCTGGCATCCTCACCAGCGCGGGGGCCGGGGGGAGGGGCGTGTGGACATGCGTCTTCGCGTCGTTCCTGAGGAGGCGGCCGGGAGCACAGGAGCTTGCCCGGATTGGGCCGGGACTCAGAGCTCGAGAGGTGGAAGGTGACGAGGAGGGCCGGGCCCGAGGGGTCGGCGCTTGCAAAGGCCGGTGCCAGCCCAGCCTCTTCCTGGCTCTGAGCCTGCCACAGCAGGACAGTGGCATGCAGGGGGTGGGCGCCCTGGGGGCAGTGGGAGGCCTTTGGGTTCCTAGCATCCTGGCCTTTCCCCTCCGTCCTGGGTGTTGGCAGAGGGCGTGTGGGCTCCCTCTTCTGGCAGTGGCAGGAAGAGCACCCCCCTTGGTGTGAGCCAGCTGGTAAGGAAACTCGAGAACCCCACTGCCCGGGGAATGGGGCGCCTGCTGCGGGCCCTGTGGGCAGGCGCGGCTGAGACACATCGCGACACGGGGCCTGCCACCAGCTGCAGGCATTTGCCGGGGTCGCGCACCCCGAGGTCATGGGCGAGGGGCAGTGCGGGAAGGAGGCGCGGCCCACCCGTGTCTGCCCCGGGGGGGCACGTGCCCCAGCTGCCCTAACGCCGCCGTCACGGCACGCGGGCCGAGTCAGCACTTTCTGGCCTCGCCCTCTAAACCAGCCTGCTGCGCTTTAGGAGGGACGCAGGTCTCCTGTGAGACGCCCAGCGCTCCGGGGGCGGAAGGCCGACAGCCCTCCGCGAAGCGCTCCTGCCGCTGGCCGCCAGCACGGAGCAGCGTCCTCCAGCCGGGTGCCGCCCGTCTGCTCTCGGGGAGGGAGCCCCAGAATCGCCTGTCAGACGGCAGCTGGCAGTGTTGGCGTGTGCGCGCCCCTTGAGGTGACTCCGTCAGTTGCCACACAGACGGGCAGCCAGGAGCCGCCGGCGCAGACGCGCCAAGCCCCACAGGGTCGCTGACGCCCCCGCATGGGCCCCTACGCGTGTCCCTGGCACCCCGCTGCCCCGGCGCCCCGCAAGGTCCCGTGAGAAATGTGTAGAAGGAAGCGCCCCTCTCGTCACAGCTGAAGACCACCACGTGTGCCCGAGCATCAGGTTTGAAGAAACCAACATCTTTTAGAGAAACTCCATCCTTAACGGCGCCCCGGCGGGCGGCCACAGCAGCGCAGGAGCGTGGCCACGCCTGGCGCAGAAGAGGGCCCCTGCGGCGCTTCCCGCGTGGGTGAGTGAGGAGATGCCCGGCGGGCTTTGTGGGGTCGGCTGCGGGGCTGGGCCGAGCCCTCTCCTCTGCGTGCTCGGGCAGGGGCACTGCCTTCGTTGCTGACGTGCCGGCGCCCGGCCTGCGTGGCAGTGCCCAGCGTGGCAGGGTGGAGGCACTAAGCTCAGAGGGGTCTGAGCGGTAACAAGCAGACTGGCGCGTTAACGCACAGCTGGGCCCCTGCTCTCAGCCCTCTGGAAACCAGGCCGGGGCCCGTGCGGAGGCCTGGGCGCAGGTCCGGGCCGGCAGCCAGCGGCAGGGCCTCCCCTCCGGCGTGGACAGCCAGGTCCGCGCGCAGGCTGGCGAGGCGCCCCTCGGAGCCGCAAGCCGGACTGCTGGCCCCTGCCAGCCGCTGTCTGGGGAGGAACAGGAGGAGGCGCCCGGCGCCTGGACACGTGTGACGCCAGCTAAGAGCTCCGCTGGACAGAATTGGCTTCCAGGACAGAAAATTGCCGGAAGGCTGGCTCTTGACGCAATGGTTTTACATCGCCTTTCCCGCCAGCAGATGTCACCCTCGTTCGGAAGGCAGAACTAGAAGCTGAGCCCGCGGCGTATCCAGCCTGCGGTCTCGCAGCTGCGGCCGCTGACCTGCTGCTGTCCAGACCGTTCCAAATAAAGCGCAAGCGATCTGTTGCTGCCTGGTCAGTGAAGCCAGCCCAGAGCCCCCGGCCCTGTTGTCTTGCCTGTGGAGTCGTGGCGGGTGGCCCTGGCTTGGAGAGGAACAGCCCTGCCCGACCGCCCAAGCCCTGAGGGCAGACCCTTGGCCCGAGTTTGAGGGAAGAGACCCAGGAAAGACGCAAGAGGCCCCGAGCATGGAGGGTCAGCGCGAAGCCATGAGGCACGCTGAACGGCCCGGCGGCCGCGTCGGCCCATGGCCTTAGGCTGGGCCACGGCCTCGGGCTTGCTCGTACTGCTCGCTGATGCAGGTGGCCGGCCTCGGGCAGGTGCGCCCCGCAGCAGGGAGAGGACGCAGCGGACCGCTGGCCCCGCCTGGGACAGTGCGCCCGCGTCCTCGGCTGGTGGGCCCAGTGCACCCCCACTTCTGCTCAGTGGGGCTTCTCCTCATTCCATTAGGGTCCGGGTGGGGACCCGCCCGCCAGCCACAGCACAGGCAGCTGGGAGCTGTAGCCCGGAATGAGCCTGTGGGCGGCCGGCCCCAGGCTTGCTGTGGGGCCCCGGGCCCCTGCCGAGGCCGGCAGCCTGGGGCGGCCCCTCCTCAAAGGCCGGTCTCTGTCACTCGCGGCCCTGCTGAGGACGCGCAGGTCTCGCCCGTTTCTGCGGAGCCAGTGCCAGCCTGGCCTCCCCGACGGGCCAGGACCGGAGCTCGGCCCAGACACAAGCCACACGCACGATGCCTGAGCGTGCTGGC